AGTAATGAGGGAAGATGTTTGGCCTTGGCAACAGCTGGTCTATTTGATAAAATAGGAAACGAGGCAAAATACATTTAATGGTTAAAGGTGATAAGTTCAGTTTTAGATAAGCTGACTTTAAGAAGCCAGTGGGAACTCCAAAGAGTAGTTTAATATGCTCATGTCCAAGAGAACCAAAGCCACTGAGTGCATAACCCACAGTGTAGAAGAGAATGAAAATGAGCACAGAGCAAAACAGGCAAACAACAATTAAAAAAAAAAGAGGAGAATTTTAAAATCTTTGAGGAAGATGAGAGTAGGTGAGAAAGCCCTACTACACAGGTAGGAGAAACAACCTGGAATGTTTGTTATCAGAGAAATTGTAAGATGACACCATTTCAAGAAAGCAATGATAGTTACACTACCAAATGATGCAGAGGAACCAAAAATATATATATGCAGACTTAAAGGTATCCATGGATTGAAATGGCAAGAAAGTCCTCAGTGACCTTGGCAATGACAGTTGTGATGGACTTCTGGGGACAGAAGCCTGTGTGCAGTCTCTCTTCCAAGGCTGTAATCTTTACTAATATCCTTGAAAAGATAAACTGGAGCAGAGATGTAAAAAAATGGGAGAAGACCCCTGGAGAATTGGCTCCCAGTAGGAAACTGAACACAGAGTGGCAGAATGATTTCTCCCAGGTCCCAGGACGAAGTGGTAGCAGAGCCAGGATCCTAAACAGTTGACATAGATCATACTCTAAAGCTGGGGTTGTTAAACCATAGTCTTTTGGACAAATAAAAGTCTGTTTTTGTATGACCAATGAGCCAAGAATGACATTCACATTTATAAAGTATTGTAAATAAACAAACAGTATGTGATGAATTGAATAAGTCCCATAAAGACTTAAACATTTATATAAAATATTTGCCAACTTGTGTTCTTAAAAAAAAAAAAAAGACACCAACAGACACACTCTGGAAAGGGATCTTTCTACTGTGATGAAGTGGTGGGACCTTACCTGAGCTGGTATCCCTATGATGTTACCATATTCGTTTGTGGCTGTTGGTTAGCAGAAAAGCTCAGTTGCTAGCCATAGAGCCCTTCTCTAAGGTTGCTCATGCCAAGGTGTGAGCTTCCCCAGAACAAATGATGGGTGGGGGTGGGGGAAGTGCAAGTGGGAAACCCTGATACCTTTTATAATCTAGCCTTCTCATCATTAGATCAGGTCACTAAGTCCAGCCCACACAAAAGGAAAAGAAACTAGACTCTGCTTCTTGAAGGTATGAGTGTCAAAATTTTTGTGCCCATATTTTTCAAACAACCACAATTGTGAGTAATAAAAATGTCAGCAATTGTGACTTATAAATCAAAAGGCAGGGGAACTTCTGTATGTTCCCCTGTTGCAGACAGGCAGCCTATCTTTTAGAAGGACATGTGGATCTTAGTGATCCTTGCTTGGTAATAACACACAATAGCCATGACCTATTAATCTTCTCTGCTTTCCTAAAAAAAGCAAAATTGATGCAGACCCCATGTGGGAATAGTTTTCAAGGGTTTCCCATACCAGATCCTTGCAAGGAATAATAGAGACAATAAATGCAGTTTTTGATCCCTAAAAGAGGATTCACTATGTCTGGGGATGTAGCTCAGAGGTAAGGCACTTGCCTAGCATGCACAAGGCTCTGAGTTCAATTCCCAGTTTCCCCCCATATTCCTCCTCAAAAGAATTCACTAAGCATAGCTATTACTATCCTTTCACCAAGCCCTGTTGACTAATGTCTGAAATCCCTGGCATCTCCACATCTCACCCCAATCTCTACTTGACTTCATCTGAATTACCACAACAGGAATTTTTTTCCCCTCATTTTCAGCCTCCTCTACAACTTTGCTTGATGTGAGAAGTATGTTTTTCTTTAAATCTTAGTTATAACTTGTGTTTTACAGAAGCTCCATTCTGTCACGGAATCAATCTACTAAGTTCCTGACCTACTGAGTTCCACTCCTGGGTCAGTGAAACTCTGAACCAATTTGGGAGTGGGGGAGTAAGGACAAAAAACAAAAAGGAGAAAGAGATATAAAAATATTATCCAGCAGCAGTGGGGAAATTGTACTGGCATGGTTTCAGGTAGGAGGGAGGGTTAAAATGAGCTTCCCTGTCAACTGAAACAGGGACCCTCTTCTGGTTTGATGAAATGGCAAGTCCTTCCATTTGGGGCAATATTTGTAGTTCTTCATCTACTTCTGAATTGAGCAATGGCATCTACTTTAGCATTCTATCAATTAAATTGATGCTTGACAAAGATTTTCTTCTGAACAATATTTTTTTTAAGGTCTTGTTGGATTTCCTGGTAGATCTATGGTGTTCATACCAGGGTAATACAGCTTTTCTGTATACACGCATTGAGATTACAAGATGTGTGTAAATGTTGAGTGCCAAGATTCCTTGCTGATAGATTGCTTTGTGTGCAGCCCAGGGACAGTATGTTTTTAGACAGAGATGTGAAACACTGGTGGGTCTTTAAGGGACCATCCCTCCTTTGGTTCTAATCCCTTCCTTCTGACCAGCTTTTTGACAATCTTACCCAGGAATTAATGCTTAAAAGCTGCCAAACCCATGCTCTCCCAAACTCCTTCTTAAGTAATTTACAGGTCTTCTTTCTAGCACACCATGATTTCTGCTGTGCTGGGTTTCAACTTTCCTCTTTAATTAATGTTTTGTGCTTTAAAACTGCAAATCATCAACGATTACAGAATATCTTTCCATACCAAACAGGCAGCTGGCCCTGTGGTGAAGAACACAGTCTCTGGGGCAAGCATGCCTAAATGCTAAATCATTACTATGCCAGTCACTTTCTAGCTATGATATCTTGGACAGTTTAACTTCTTTGTCCCTTGATTTCCTCATCTTTAAAAAAAATGGGGATAATAATCACCATAATTTTCTTTTAAAATTAAATTCTGAATATGTGTAAAACACTTAGAATAATTCTGGCACATACTGAGCAGTCTGTAAGTATTGACTCTTCTCATTATAATCTAAAGGATGTGGGTCAGGATTATCATAGACTGGTGAATCCATCAGGTGAGTTTTTATTAAGTGGGAACCTAATAAATGAACATATATGTTCAAATCAATATTGGCAAACTAAATTGTGGAAACAGCATTAGTCCCAAGAGATGCTTTAAATACTGTCACAAAGAAGCCCCTTCTCTGATTTTTAATTATACAATAGAAAAATAAGATGGTTTATTGTAATGTAGTATGGGTTTATAGAAGGCCAAAAAAGTAGCTAAGCATAATTTAGGGCAACAATCTAGGCTAGAATATCCTCCTGTCCTCAAGTACTGGTTCTTCTCCAAAGAAATGGCTAAATTGCCCCCACTTTGGATGGTCATACTCCATTGAGCAGAATTGTGCCAGGCTACCTCGTCACTGGTTGGCTTCTCTTTTGTTCCCGTCCATACTTTGTTCTTACTTTCCATTTGTGCACCCTGTGACCTGTGACTACAGAATGAGATTGCTTTTCCCCAAAACCTACTCAGCATAATCTTGGCAGGTTATATCAGAAAAGAGTGATTGGGACAAATTTCCTTAAAATGTGACTTGCTTAAATGTGATAAGCTTGAAAAATCAATGAACTTCTCTTTGGCCTAGTCAGTACATTCTACCCGTTATATTCCAGAAACATAGTATAGAGCACCAAAGATACCTAGCACAAGCTATGCCAGTTTTTCTGCCTATTAACAAGAAGTACATTCACTCTTTTCTCAAAGGTGTGCCCATCTGGGAAGCCATACCAGATATTGCACTGCAGATCTGTGTCTGTTTTCAAGGTAAAGATTCAGCAAGCTGCATGGTTCCCATGCAGCCACTTTATGAATTAGTTTTGGGGAAAACTCCTTTAAAAAACTATAAAACCAATCTGAATTTTTAAGTTAGTGTAAATCATACTGACAATCATCCTCAAAAAAGAATGTATCAAAAAAGAATAATGTTTCAGTCTTCAAATATTTTGCTGATTGCCCAGAAATAAATATACTACTAGTCTTTGCTCTGTTCATTCACAAGTTCATTCTTGTGACTTCTCAACCAATTGTATGCTCTTGCATTCAGCCACAGTTCCTGTCATCTGTTAGGATGGCTCCAACCTTCATTGCCTATTATCATCATTCCTATTTCGACAATGCAATCCCAGAAGCAAAAGCCCAAGTTCACCGATAAATAACAAGGATAAACTAAAACTAACTCTGTCTTGTAGACATGCAGATCTATCTAAGGGAGGAACACACAAACCCTCCAGGGTTTTTGACCGAAGCTGACCGAAGCTGACTTACTAAGGTCACTTTTCTCAATCAGGCACAGCTATGTATATTACTCCCCCCACCCCACAAACACATGGCTTTCTACATATTCAGAGAATATGATTTGACAGTCACATCCTGGTCAAAATCAGGTAGAATTCAAGATAAATTCAGATTTAGTATATTTTAGTGGCAATTTTTGGAATATACTAAAGATAGTCACTAAAGGAAAGCATTACTAGACTTACTTGTGGAATATCTCACTTAACTTTGGTAAGATGAGGTGTGCCTTTTGCCTGTGTGCACCAAAGGCTCTCTGTGAAATCATAAGATTCCTCCCAGCTGACTAATAACTATTGAGTTAAGAACTATTGATTTGGGGCTGGGGTTGTGGCTCAGTGGCAGAGTGCTTGCCTAGCATGTATGAGACACTGGGTACAATGCTCAGCACCACATATCAATAAATAAAAATAAAGGTCCAATGACAACTAAACAAAAAAAAAATTTAAAAAAAACTTCAAAATCTCTTCTTTATAGACATCAAAGAACATTTTAAAAAAAGAACTATTGACTTCACCAAAATCAGTATACATATCAATACATGGCTATCAGTAATGCAAAGTTTGAATAATCCCATTAGAAGACAAAGGTGAGTCATGAAGACTTTCATACCAGGTTTTAATGGCTTTGAAACCAAAACAGACAAGCCAACAGGCACTTGGGCAAAGGATGCTTTATTTGCTTCAAACCAGATCTAATGATCTAGGCAATTTTAAATGAACCCAAAAGTTTTCATGAGCCAGTTCAGTCTATCTGGAGGAATTTCTGTGCTTCCCTGTAAATGGGAAGAAAAAGCCAATTCCTCTGCAAATATTACATATGATTAAACTTGCAGGGTGGGAGCAGAAAAAGAGGTAGACAGAAAGGATGCACATATGAATTTTGTGGGTGGGACGCAGGCTGTTCTGAACTTCCAGGATAACTGATCCTTAAACATAGGACATATCCCACCCCCAACCCCTTTATAAGGTAAAGGCCTTTTCCACTGCAAAGTCAAAACTCATGGAGACATTTCCCAAAAGTAAAGTCATTTTATCAGTGAACTGAAAGGACGCCATGTGTCTATATGGGATTCAGTTACCCCAGTTAGGCTCTGTTCTTTAGAAGAGCCCATCACAGGGAACACTTCTGGGATTCCTTTATTTGTGTAAAAACCATACATGCCTTCTCAGTATTTGCGTGTGGCTTTGAGGGCAGGACAGGATAATCTTTTTCCTCTCTGTATTCCTGGAGTCTTCGCAGTACCCAGCAAATAATTCTATAAATAGTTTCTGATTGATTGAGGTCCCCTGACCCAAGGAACTCAGCTATTGACCATCTCCTACTCTTCTATTTCACCCTTTTCATATTGCATCTGGCTCTGAGCCACCATAGACAGGCGTGAATTCGCACAGAACCATCCTTGTGGTTCCTTTCTATGACAACAAGTAAAATATGGAGACAGACCACCCTGGAACCAGCAATCCCTGGGAGACAGCTGACCAGTGAGGCTGGCTGGTCACGCCATGTGGGGCTCTGGGGGAGGGGGGTTCCAAGCAGTGAGGTTCCTGGTGTCTGCCTCCCCGGGGAACTAGCCCACTGAGCCCTCACTCATCAGAGGAGGAAGGGATGGGCTCCTTTTTGCAGGTGTCATGCTTGGCTCGGTGTCGCTGGAGGTGGTTGGAACGGGTGAAGGCCTGACCACAGTCCTCACACTGGTAGGGCCTCTCCCCGTTGTGCATCCGGATGTGCTGAGCCAGCTCCGACGCAATGCGGAATGCCCTGCCGCACTCGGCACACAGGAATCCCTTCTCTCCAGAGTGAATTTGTTGGTGCCTCTTCAGGGTGGAGGAGCGGGCAAAGGCCTGGCCACACTGTGTGCAAGGGAAGGGCCTCTCACCGGTGTGGATGCGCTGGTGGCGCACAAGGCGCGAGGGCTGTGCAAAGGCCACTCCACAGTCAGCGCACTTGAAGGGCCTCTGCCCTGTGTGCAGTGTCTGGTGCTCGTACAGGTTGGAGGATTTGGTGAAGCACTTGCCACAGGTGGGGCAAGGGAATGGCCGCTCGCCAGAGTGCACGCGCTGATGCTCCACCATGCGGCTGGCCACTGCGAACTCCCGGTCACAGGCGGAGCAGCGGAAAGGCTTGGCGCCCAGGTGCGTGCGCTGGTGGCGCAGCAATGACAGCGGCTTGTTGAAAGTCAGGCCGCACTCGGAGCACGGGAAGGGCTTGTTGTTGCTGTGCATGTTGCGCTGGTGCTTGCGCAGGTCCGAGGAGCGCACGAAGGCCTTCCCGCAGTCTTGGCATGGGTAGGGCTTCTCACCGGTGTGGGTGCGGATGTGCTTGCGGTGGTCCGAGGACCAGGTGTAGGCCTTGTCGCAGAAGGGGCACCGGTAAGGTCGCTCGCCCGTGTGCAGGCGCCGGTGCTGCTGGAGCGTGCCCCTGTGGGAGTAGGCCTTTCCACACAGCTCACACGCGTAGGGCTTGGCACTGCCGCGTCCTGCAGCTCCAGGCAGCTCGCGGGGCTTCTGGAAGGCCTCTCCGCCCCGCAGACATTTGTAGGGATGCTCCTCTGCCTGCCTGGGGTCTGGCTCAGGAGCTGGGTTCTGGTCTTTTCTGCTGCTCCGCGCTTTTGCCAACACTGCAGCTGCCAGACAGGCTGGATTGGCAGATCCCTGGTCCTGTGCCTTTGTCTCTTGCATAGGGAGATCCCAAATGCTATCTGTTCCAGGAAAGCACTCCGGAGAGTTGTCTGGAGATGTGTCTATATCTTTCTGTGCACAGAAATATTCTTCATTGTCCAGAAAGCTGGATGGAACATCCAAGGATGTGTCCTGGTTTGCCTTGGAGCCTCCATCATCCCCCACAGGTAGTGAGTCTCTAGGAGATTGCAAACAACTGACCAACTTGTGTGAGAGGCCCCTAGGAAGGGCACCCAAAGCTGCTCCTGCTTCGGGGGACTCCTGAGTCAGGGTGATCTTTGACTCCTTTCTTTCCCAGCGGATCTTTCCAGGCATCTCTACAGGTTTCTCCCCCATGTCTCCAGCACTAATAGGATCAGAGAAGGTGTCTTCCTCTTTGAACGAGGGACTCTGCCACTGCAAGTCAGGATAATGGTGATTTACTGGGGAGCTGCCCCTTGGAGGAGCCTGCTCACCAGGGTCCCCTGTATCTCCTGCCTCCCCACCATCCTCATCTTCACTCTTTAAGTTCATGCTCAACATCTGGTTGTCATGAGTCAGGCTGCCAAGGGACCCCTTGCCCCACCTGTCCTGGGAGTCCCCTTCTGCCATGTTGTGCAGCAGGAGCTTCTGTTGTCTGCTCTTCCAGGGAAGAACCTTTGCTTGGCTCAGGATACCTGCAAAAAGGGAGGTGTGAAGAGGAAATCACAAAGAGTGTACTTAGACTTTCATAACCAGAGGGACTGAGGTTCTCACTATAGCTCTGTTTCCAACTGGTAACCTGCCAGGCGTGTTGCTGAGCCTCCCCAAGGGCAGGAGGAGCTGGGCCCTGCTGAAAATGCCTCAGTCATCCTTGTTCCCTTTGGAAATCCCACTTTCTAGAAGCCCCAGACAGCCATGCTGTCAAGAATGGCCAGGGGCAGGGGGACTTTTGCTGGGTGCCAGCTGTGTCCTGCTCTGTCCAGGGTGCTCACACCTCACAGGTCACACAGGTCCTCTGCGGGCATGACGAAGGCTAGATGAGAAGGCAAGACTCGAGCTCTGGGCATCCTCAGACACTCTGACATTGTTCCCCTATCTGGAACCTGAACACCAAGCTATCCCTGATAGGAGTGCAAAGGTGCTGTCTGGTGAAGGTGCCAGCTAGGGCCACCTCCCAGGCACTGAGCCGTGTAGGTCATCTCCTCTGAAGTCAAGGAATAGCCCCTAGGAGAATGGGGTCAAGTCAAGAGGAAACCAGGTGGGTTCCCCAAAAGATACCAGCTGCCCCTCACTGCTTGAGCAAGGCTTCTCAGGTCTGCAATGAAGAGCCCCTGACAGCCAGGGAGTGTGAACGTAAACACCCACAGAGAGCGAGAACTATCAGAAATAATGCTTTGTCTTAATCATCCATGAGAATTTATGCTCAGTGCCATGTAATAAACATCAATAGAAAAACAATATCTAAGTTCAGTTGAAATGCTTAACCTTCCCTCCAAGTGTGCCCCATGTACCCCACACATCATGGACTCCTGGCATACCCCCACATAGCACAGGAGTGCACGTTCCCCAACTTGAGCAGCCCAGCGTAAAGGTTTTGACAGCGAGGTGCGAGACACAGGAGCCATCTGGGTTCTATTTTCAAATTGATTTTATTTTAGCTTGAAGACACAGGGAAAGCCTGCCAAGGGTTGGTTAATAAGCATTGCTTTTGTGAGTGACACATTTAACAGGAATTGCTGGCCTGAGAGGCCAGCTTCTGAGGGCCTCCCAGAGAGGTCAGTTGCTGACAGAGGGCTGAGTTTGCACTGGTCTGGAGGGAACCTTCTGAGAATCCCAGAAGTGTTAATATTAACAGTTCCCATTTTTCTGGGAACCCATTAGGAGCCAGGAACTATGTTGAGCACTTTGCAAACATGCCTTCATTTAGGACTTCCAGAAACCTTTAAGATGGAGGCTATCATTATTATATTATTCTTTCCATTTTATAGGAAAGGACACTGAGGCTTGCCTGCTCAAGGCCACACAGCTCACAGACAGCAGCCCTCTAATTGCTTTCTAATTCCAAGACCGTTATGTTAAGACCTATGGAGCCATACCCCCTCCCAGCTGTGGCCTCCAGACTGAGCCTGCCCTGGGGTTGGGCCCTGCCAAGAGTGGCCACAGCATCCTGGGGGGAAGAGCACTGCACTCTGCAGGCATCAAAGCCCCTTGTGTTTCTGGGCCAAGGGATGCTGGCTGCAAGGCCTCACTGCTGGGTTCCTCCCTGCTCTCATTGACCCAGATTGCCCTTCGCGGGAGAGAGGGCCCAGGGCCGACTGTCAGAGCCAGGACACATGCTGCAGAGACTGCTGCCTGGGGTGGTCAGGAGTGTTAGTCACCGAGTATTTACCTTCTGCAAGCTCTTTCTCTACCTCCACCACCTTCTCCTGCTCTCTCATTGGCACATCCTATTAGGTGTCCCCGTCTCATCAAAGTGTCTTCCCCCCTTCCTGTTGGCTCTCCACACAGTTGCTGCTTGTGGAGTGGGGAGCAGACAGGGGGAATCCTCACTTTCTACTCTGGGTACAGAAGCCAGAGTAGAAAAAAGGAGGACACACTGCAGTCATGACTGGATTCAGGGTCTCACGTCCTTTTGTCCCCTGTGCCCTGGGTCACTCCTCTTACCTTGAGGCTCTATCCCCATAACCTGTCAGGGTGTAACTGGCACCCTTTTGACAGGAAACCAAGTTTGACCTATTTGTATCATAGCAAATCTTAGAGAGGAGAGGTACGTACGTGCATGTGTGTCATTCACAGAGGGGACACAAGACCAGCCAACTTTATAGGACTTACAGACCAGCATGCTTGATCAGGAGCTGTGGTCCCCAGCAGGGACAGCAAAGGGACTTGTATGCAAATAGATTTCTGGAGTCTCTTCCTCTCTCTGCAACACACCGTGCACGTTCCCGTGACACTGTTCCACAGACTCTTGCGTCACCCCTTCCCCACCCGATACCCAGCACACACATACCCTGTTCTCCACAGCCTGTGACTGACTCCCTGCCTCTGCTCCACCGAGGAGCCTCCTCAGGACAGCACACAGCCTTCAGCCAACTAAGCCCTTCTCAGGAGGCTGACAGGAGATGGCCTTTTTCCGATCCGGGATCTCTCCTCTGACTGAAGCCGTGGCCCCAGCAAAGACATACATCGGGCTTTCTCCCTTCTGTAGTTGTCCAAGGCTCTCTCTCTCCACCATCCAGAAAACTAGGAGGAGGGCAGGGGCCCAGAGTTGGATTTTTCTGGCAAAGTATGCATAAATATACCTGGGCAGGAAGAGGAACAGTGATGCTATGGTGTGGCTGGCCCCTCTGCTCTCCAGATGTGCTGGCCCTCTGAGGCTGTCAGAACACAGCCCTTTCCTGGAATGTCGCCCACACCCTCCAGCCAGCAGTGACTCTGGTACAGCCTCCAGCTCCCCGACCTCATACGTGGACACTGTGCAGAAGCCTGCCCCAGGCTTGTTCTAGCTCCTGGCCCCGGCCCCTCTCCCTTCGCCTCTTCCGACTGCGCTAAGTCTATCCCAGGCAGCCACCTCCCACATTCTCCTCTGCCCACTGCCTTTAAGCCTTGCTCTTCACTTCTGGCTGGGACACAAACAGTTGCTTACCTGGAAAATGCGGACAGCGACGTGGGGGCCCCCTGCCCTGGCTTTTGTCACATGTGGTCTCTCAGCAACAGGAGCCAGAGTTTGGTACAAATTAGCAGAGATGGTGTCTCTGTCTCTCACGCTTTTGTGTCCAGTCCAGCAGCTGCAGAGAGAGCTTCGGGAGGTGGGGCCAGTGTAATACACTCAACCTTCCTGCCCGCATCCCAGAGAGCAGCCTGGGAAATACAGTGGGGCTGCCCTCTCACTGCCTGAACCGATCCTCAGGCTCCCTCTGCTCCCGCCTTTCCTCCCTGCCTGAGCCAGCATTCCTCCCTCCTCCTCCCTCCCTGGAAGGTTGCTCAGTCCTCCTGCAGGTGGCCCTGCGCCTCCAGTTCTCTCTCACACCTTCTTCCCACAGGGCAAGCTGTCCATCCTTCGGTCCTCTCCTGGTGTGTCTATGGGCCACTTGTCACAGGTCAGCCTCTGGGGTGCATGTCGTCCCCCACCCCAGCCCCGGGAGCCAGAACACACTGGGAGATTATAATATCACTTCCCAGGTTCCACTACCCACCTTCTGCAGAGCTGTGGGTTGAGCAGGGAGTAGGGTCCCACAATTCTTTACAGTGGTCCAATCATTGTCTCAAAGATGCCCATGACCGCTTAGCTGGGGTTCAAGGAAATAGTTTCTGTTCTAATTCATACAGGTCCAGGCCTGCCTGGGACCTCTCTCCATCTTTTAAGCACTGATTTTACATAGGTTCAGTTTGAAGAGTGTTCATTCTGAATGCTCACCCTAATAGGAGATAGGAGTATTGTAACCGAGATGTCACTAGGTGGCCAAAAATTTATTGGTTGATAGTGAGGTTCTGGGGCTGTCTGACCTTGGGCAAGTTACTTAATCTCTGCGTGCCTCAATTCCTCATCTGCAAGATGTATAGTATCACCATCCTGAAGGTCTTTGAAGAATTAAATAAGATAATGCATGTGAAGAATTATTGATGTTATTCCTAGGGCTCCTGTTCCATCCCATGGCCCTGTTAGGGCCGTGACTCTCATAGGAATACTGACACCCAGGATGTTGTTCTGAAAAGCAATTGTCTTAGTGTGATTAGAAAAGCAGGTTCCTCTGCCCCTTGGTGATTTACAGGAGTGACTTCCAAGGGAGGAGGCAGTTAGCTGAGACATGTCTCATAGTCTCTGAACAGCTGGAACAGGGTTCAAATTCTGCTGTTCATGGAGCCCCTGAAGTAAAGTGCAGAATGCAGCAGGTGTGGATACACACCATTTGGGCAAAAAGATCCTAGCCGTCATCCATCTCTCAAAGGGTCAGCACTCAAAAAAAGTTGGCATCAGGGGAAGATGTGAGCTGAGGAGAGTAGGGAATATTTAAAACATCTCCCAAAGTAACATGGGGGGGGGACACAAACCCACCCCAGTGCTGTTGTTCAAAGTGGTCCATGTGACCAGCTCGTAAGAGTTGGGTTTTAGATATCTTTAGCATGAAAGCACCTATTTCCCCACAAATGGGTAGAGGAGCCTGTGGATGGGAACATAAGAGCTGGGATGAGTGTGCATGCCCCCCCACTCCAGCCTCAGCAGGGCATCCATCGAGCAACAATCACCAGTGCCAACACTGTGCCCATACACTGTGACACTCTCCACGAATCCTCACCACATCCCAGTGGAACAACCATCATGAGTGTTAGCCTCATTTGTAAGTTGAGAATAGTAGGCCAGGCATCTCAAGTACTTTAACCAAGGTCACAGACACATTGTTACTATGTAGTGAAGCCACAATTTGAATCCGAGATATCAGGGTCCTCACCCTTAGCCATGACTGCACAGGATCCCCACACATGGTCCCTGCAGAGCCTTCATGCTTGGCCTGCGCCTCACTCCATCTTCATTCTCTCCTGGAAACCCTTGGTCTCTCCACCCAAGGCTGTGTGACCATGCGTGTATGGTCTATGCTGTCATTATCCTGAAGGATATTCTTGTCCCTAAGCTGCCCAAGAGATGGTTCCCACAAATCCTGTCCATTCTCATCAGCCTTGACAACCTAATTGGCATCACACTTTCTTTCTGGAAACTGTAACAACTGACTAATTACCATATGCTGTGGGACCTCCATGTTAAATTGCCCAGATGGCATCTGCTTGGTGTTCAAAGTATGCTGGAGTCGCTGTCTCACTGGGATGGCGTAGGTCACCTTGGGGTATAAGGGAAAAGGAGTGGCCTGGAATCTACTTATGTGGAGAGATACTGGGAACTCCTTGGGTCACCTTCCTGAGATGCTCCCCAGCCATCTTTCTAATCCTGTTTGGAAGTGTCATGCACCTTTCCCGCATATGATTCTTCATTATGCTAATGAGTTGCACATTGCCGGCTGATCAGGCCTTAGGCCAGAATTCTGGAATCACTTTCTTGTCCTGAGTCCCGTTCCCTTTTGACAGCATAAGAACATTCACAGTCTTGTATAATCATTGTAACAGTCATTGTAAAGACCACAGGCATCGAGAGTTAAAGGGCCTTTCCCCAAGCCATATTTTTTAAGGAAAACTTCTAGAATCTATATAATTCTGTCTAGTCCCTAAGTATGGGAACAAGGAAGGTGTTATTTTAATTTGTTTATTATTTGCAAGGGGTTTTTTTGTGTGTGTGGTGCTGGAGATTGAACCCAGGGTCTTGTGCATGCAAGGCAAACAGTCTGCCAACTGAGCTATATCCCAGCCTGTAAGTCTGATTTTTAAAATCTGGCATTTCCCTTGAGCTGTCTTAGTTGGCAGTGGTGAAAAGAAGGTTCTGATTACCTGTCTGTCTGGGAAGTGGGGAGAAGGGAGAGACTGTGTGGGGAGTGCAAGGTGCTAGAGAAGACTAGGAATGTCAGCCTCTTGCTAGGCACAGTGCATGCTGTCAACCACACAGGTGGAATGCTGGAGCTGTGTGGCATGGTGGAGAATGGGGCACACTGGCCTTGGATCCTGAAGGATGCCTTCCGCTCCCTGCTGAGTTTGTGAACATGGTACATCTGGACGTTGGGTTGTGCTGGGATTCCAAGGGAACTTGTGAAGTTTCCCCAGTTCAGCGGCTAAGGCTCTGAACCCAGGCCCCATTCCCTGCAGTTCTCCCTCAGATTCTGTGGTCAGGTGTCAGCACAGGGCCCTGGTTAAGTGCTTACAAATACTGGGGACAGCTGGTGAGGAACCATACCATCTAGTTCTGCCTTGGCCCTTCATCCTCCTTAAAGAAGATTCCTAGAGCCACTTAAATGGCTCATGCATGGTAGAGACTCTAATATTGTTCTTCTCTCAGGCATTAAACATTGTTGAGTAAAAATATACATGCAGAAAACCAAATTGTAGGTGAAACAGGACTCACAATTTTTAGTAAGGCACACTCAGCTTTAAATCCCAGTTCTGCTTGATCTTGGCCTTGGTCAATTAACTTCTCTGAGACTAGGACCACCCCCCCCATCCCCCACCACCACACAACTGTAAAATGGGTATAATGGCAGGGTTGTTGTGAAAATAACCTGAAACCATGTATTTAAAGCATTTAGCTGAGTGTTAGTGCTATAGTGATTTTTAAATGAAATATAACCCTAATTTTTGTCCTAGAGCTGGTAGGAGCTTCTGATGCCTTTGCCTCATCCCTGCTTCTCCATAATACTGGCCTTTAGGTACTCTGTTTCCAATAGATTATTTATTTATTTGGTACTGGGGAATGAACCCAGGGGTGCTGAACCGCTGAGACACATCCCCAGCCCTTTTTCATATTTTATTTAGAGACAGGGTCTCACTGAGTTGCTTAGGGCCTTGATAAGTTGTTGAGGCTGACTTTGAACTCACAATCCTCCTGCCTCAGCCTCCCAAGCTATCGGGATTATAGGTGCGCATCACCAAGCCTAATCTGCTTCCAATAGAGTGTCATGCACCAGGCTCTGGTTCTGACTTCCTTGCCCCAAACATTCTCATTTAGAGATTGGCCAAACAGCACTTCTGGGGAAGACTAGCAATGCTCCTGGAGCATTGCTCCCTGGCCCTTCATAGTGTGCTACGCTCAGCACATATGGCGATAAATGGCAGAGATGGTAGACTTACGCTCTAGACAGGATGATAGGATATGCCATGACTCCTCCTGCAGCACAATGCCAGGTGGAAGCCCTTCTGCTTCCCAAGTTCACACCACCTGCCCCTGTTGATGGCTACACAGCAATGTCACTGAATGTGCATATCAGGCTACCAGAATAAGTCAATTTCTGCTACTTGCTATATGACAGCAAGTGAGATCCTTAATGCCTTTATGCCTTAGTTTCTTTATCTGTAAATCATGGTTAGTAATAGCATCTACTTCAGAGTTTGGGGAATTTCATGAAGTATTTTGTGGAGTCCAAGGAATGTGCAATCAATATGAACTAATATATGAACTAACTATAATAATATAGTTCAGGTTGGAGGCTCATCTCTACCTCTAGTCAAAGCAGGAGAGAACACCACCTCTGGTCTCCCCTGAAACTTTCTCCTAAAGCTAGTCCAAGACCACACATAATGAATGAACTCTAAGCAGGTCCCAATGGAACCCCTTGGGTGAGCTCCAAGACCAGCCTTCTATAAGCTTCTCAAGACACATACCATACTGTAATGGCCTGCTCAGATGACCACTACAGCCACTGGCCCCTGCTATGGGAGGAGGAACTGCAAAGAGTGGGTGGGCACCTCTGAAGTTAATAGAATCCTCAGGGCACCAAGGCTGAAGGCTCACCTTCTCTGTGAGCATAGCAGCACATGTCCTTGGCCCAGGGAAAGCATATCTTTCCAGGCCACATAGACTTTGGGCTTTGCTCCTCTACATTTCTCCTTGTGCTTAGTACTTTGTTGAAAATGAAGAGAGAATACCAAAAGAAAAGACTTTTCAAAGTCTCTTATAATTTACTTTAGCTTCTGTATTTGCTGATCTTTCCAGGCTCAGGGATGGAAGTTCTGAGGAGGTTAGAAGGGAAGATGCTACATAACTTTAATTAATGAGAAAATCAAAACAGAGCCCTCTGAGCTCTTGCATCAGAACCCTTAAACTGAGGGTTCTCATTGGCAATCTCTTTCACTGAGGATTACCACAGCTCTGGGGCATGATGAAATTGTTAGAAATTAAAAAATTTAAAGAGCATCAGACCTCAGAACTTTAAATGAGGAGATCTCAGAAATTGTTTGATAGAATCTCTCTGTTTCACAGAAATACAAGTTTCTATTTATTTGTTCCATCATTCATTTATTCATTCATTGAACATTTGCTGAGCTTT